GGCCAAGGGCTCTTCTGGTGTAATGGTAGTGCCCCTACTTTTGAGCCAGGAGGCCTGGGTTCATATCCCACCTGTAATAGAGGTATGTAATAATACCTCCAAAACTGGTTGGTTAGAAAATATCTAGAAGCAGTTGGTTAGCTTTTGACCATTTTCTAGGTTGGCATGTGTAAAGACCTAGCTGAATCCACCACAGAGATAGTAGGAACTGCAGATGCTGCAGAATCTGAGATAACAAGGTGTAGAGCTGGATGAACACAGCAGGCCAAGCAGCATCAGATGAGCAGGAAGGCTGACATTTCGGGCCGAAGGGTCTAGGCCCAAAACGTCAGCCTTCCTGCTCCTCTGATGCTGCTTGGCCTGTTGAATCCACCACATACTTGCTCCATCACAGCCAGCAATATCCATTACTAGACCCCCAACAGCCCAGTAAACTGTTATGAGTTGCATAATGACCAAAAATACAGGACTCAAATCACAAAACAAAATCTCAAAATATCTATGTCCCTATTACATTTTCTCCCATTTCTCCTCTGAACACCTGAAACTCGAGACACATCATGGGTTACAGTTCCACAGTCACAAAATGTCTTTCGATACTTCATCTGAGTATGAATTCCTTATTTACTAGTCTAGACATTTAATGTCAGCTGTCTATCAGTTGATGGAACAGTATCGTGGTTCAACACTATTCAGTTCTCATCTATTGTGCACACACGAGCATTTTCTATGGTAAGGATCACTGAAAGTCAGTCATGGCTGTTCGCTGGCTGATTTTTCTCTATGTAGCCCCAAACAGAAAACTGACTCTAGCTGACAATAGCTATCACAGTGCACACAACTCATTAATCTAGATCTGTCATGCTGAATCCCACAAAGGACTTGACAATATACTGATCTAGGTGTGAGGTAATATTGAAAAAGTTTGCACAGGATTCAACTTATTTATCAAGGAACTTAAACATTCAACAAGGAAAATGTAACAAGTTTACATTAAGAAATGTAATTATAATTGTAATAATATAAATCATTCTACCACCAAGTTCCAGGAATGCACTACACTGCAAAGAACATGTTATTAAATCAGCTATAACAGAAACATGCTAAAAGCATTCTACAAGTATAATGTTACAAAATGCTTAAAAGTTGGCCACTGAATTCTATTCGGGTACACCAAATTGACTTCAAAGTCTCAAACTGGTTAAAGCTCCTCCCATTCTTGGACAAAATTATCTCAGATTATCCATTATTTTCAATGACATAATTGAAATTATAATACTTGTGACTTAAACTTTCAAGCAATGTATCAGAGAACAGTTTGGCTTTTGAAGCCACACTATTTTAAAATAGCAAGACAAATCAATGGAGCAATATTTCTTACCACAGTCTGAAATTTTCTTCACTGCTCATGCGATTGTGATAGTCATAGTCTGGCATCTGTAATATCATTTTCATTCACACTTTGTTCTTACTAAAAGCAAGATTTTACAGTACTACAAAATGCTACATTTTCAGAATCCAACTATATGTGTGTTTATATGTATGTTTATAAGTGAATTTTGCTTTAACCACTGTTATATAACACCAGCAGCATTTTCATCTCAACAATAAGTTCCGAGCTCGGTTCAGGAGATTCATTTCTGGGATCAAGGGCTTGCATTATGAAAGAAGGTTGGTTCTTCAACCATTGGAACTTAGAAGAATGAGAGGTAACCAGACTGAAACACAAAATGTTGACAGGACTTGACATGTTGGATTCTGGGCGTTTCCCTTGGAGAAAGATTAGAACTAGGCAGCACATCTTAAGAATAAGAGGCCTCCCTTAGAAGACTGAGAAAAGGGCTTTTTTTTTTCCTCACAGAGGGTGCTTGTCTGTAGAATTCCCTTCCCCAGAAAGTGCAGGCTGCTCACTGAATTTGTTCAAAGTCAAGCTAAAATAGATTTTTAAAAGTCAAGGGAGTCAGAGGTTTCGAGGAGCAAACAAGAAAGTGGAGTTGAGGCCACAATCAGATCAGCCACGATCATTTTGAGCAGCAGAGGAAGCGCAAGAGACCAAATGGCCTACTCCTGCTACAAAGTCCTATGCTCCTATGTAACAACTTACATTTATATGGAGCCTTTAATGTTATGAAATATCCTAAGGTACCTCACAGCAGTTGCAAAGAGTGGGCATAGACAAGCCAAATAGTCTACTCCCGAGGTGAAACCATCCTCTGATTCTGTATGACACCAAGGCACATAAAGAAATATTAGGTCAGATGATCAATGAAGTAGGTTTTTTGATCATAGCATGAGATTTTAAAGGAGTATCTTGAAGGAACAAAGTGGGGTAGAGAAGCAGAGAGGCTTAAAAAGGGTATTACAAAGCTCAGGGTCTAGGCTGTTGATGGTAATGTGACCAAAGATGAAGAGATTAAAACTGGGGATGCACAGGAGGCCAAAGTCAAATGAGCGCAGAAATCCTGGGGGATTGCTGGGATGAAGTAGACCAGAGAAAGGGAAGAGCAAGGCCATGGAGAGATTTGAAGAGAAGATTAAGAATTTTAAAGTCAAGATGCTGCTGGGCCAAGAACAACTGTAGAAACCAAGTAGAGGGGTAACATGTGAAGGCAATTGGTATGAGTTAGAACACAGATGGCAATGTTTTAGACAACCTAAGGGTAGACGGTGGGAAGCCAAATAGGAATACATTGGAATAGAGTCTTGAGGTGACAAAGACATGAATGAACACCGCAGGAATAAACTGATTAGTGCACCAGAATAATAGCATCAGACTTTTACATTCAGACCATGATATATGGTGCTATAATTATAGTTTACCTTTCCATAGGAATATTTCATATGTGTATTTTAAAATTCTAATCATCTTCCTCTACAGAACTCATATCAAATATCTCCTTCAAGCATTGCACAATAGAGACTACATTGGTCAATACATTGAAGGGCCTAGCTTAAACCACTTGTTTGTATTTGATCACCTAAATGACCTGTTGGAAGCTACAGTCATTCTTCCAACTAGAAACTCATACAATGACATTTGTTAATGTTGGGATTCAAATCCAAATCTCTTTAGGTGTTTTTGGCTATTTATAGTGTGAATAGCTTTCAATAACAATGTATAATTCCCTAGTTACCAAGCCCAGTAACTAATTAGTTAGTTTTTGACAAAACCAACTACCAGGTTCCCGTAACAAAAAAAAGAACTTGGATTGTAGAAATCAGAAACCAAAACAGAAATTGCTGGAAAAACTCAGGTCTGGCAGCATCTGTGGAAAGAAAGCAGAGTTAACGTTTCAGGTTACCAAGTATCTTCTGTCTCTGTGCAAGCACACACTGAAGTAATACTAATGCTACTTACATAGGTCTTTGATCTCTTGATGCAAAATGCTACACAAGAAAGTAACACTAGTGTACAGAATTTAATTTTAAACAATGTCTACATTATTTTTGAATTAAATATTAACAATAATTTCAAACCAGTGCTAGATAACTCATTTCATTATTTAAATACTGATATGAAAATGAAATAGTGGTTCTTTCAACTTTTATGATAAATAATTTCAAGTAGCTATTCAGTTATTATTCAGTCTTAGGATGTCATCAAATGAGCTTTTCCATTTTTCAAATCTTAAAGGAAATATTCCCCTTGCCACTACAGATGACAAAGAAATATCAAATTCATAGGTTTTTTTTGCCAACCCAGTACGTAGTGCTAACCGTCAGCATCTGGCATACTTTTGAATATTCATACAGGTTTCAAACCCTAACAGTCTATGATTCCCTTAATTCTATCTGACCTTTATCCTCTACGGATAAAGATCTCAATATGGCTAACATTGTAATACAGTTCTCCATCCGATTTCTACACGTCAAATGTGCCATTTGATAGTAGTCTTTTAAAAAAGGAACAACTTATCCAATTCTTGACAGGTGTTTAAATGTATTAGACTCCCATTTACTTACAGCAGTCATTATGATTACCTACATTCTTGCATAAGACTGTTTCGATATTTAGTCTCTACCAAAAGGGCACATTTAATTAATATGTTGAAACCATAAACATGTTTGCATTTATCAATGTCAGTTACGATAATGCCTAAAATGTAGAGACTACAAAAGATGATCTGCAACGCAAAGAAGAGATTTGAAACAAAAAACACAATGTTGTATAGTTGGAGAGCATGTTTTGAAGTGTCAAGATCCTGTACATTTACGATACAAAAAAAATTCTAAATTTGAATATTTTAGTTGTAACTATAGAATAAATATCTGACAACTATAAAAGCTTTCCAATAAGTAAGGGCCAAACAGTAATGTACACAATTCTTATTTCTAGACAAATTAATGATTAAATACCAACTGAAGACATTACTTCCATCTCAAATATTTCAAGCACTAAGTCAATGATTTTTGCAGTTGAAACCCAAATAAATTCAACAAAATGAAATACACCTCCACGTACAATCTTGCAAAATTGAATTCTTCTGCTGCCTGCATAATGCCACACTTTAAATATTTTTCCAACCTGTAATTACAAGCTTTCCAGCACCTATCATGTGGACTGCTGAATACAGATAATGTAACTGCCATCTCAAAGCTAATTGTCTGGGCTTTTCTCTTTTCTAAAGGGAAACTGAATACAATCCATTAAGGTTTTGCATGTTGAGTGCTAAAACCCCTCATGCTGCGGTGGAAAAAACCTCAACTTTCAACCTCTGTCAACCAAACATCATCAGTTATTAACATTTTTTTCTAACTGACTTAAACGCAGCACAGCAAAGTACTTGTATTTCATGAATTCATGATTTTCCACCTACACTAATATGACCCCACCAACCATTCCTTAACTTTCTGATTTGCAATCCAGTGGCATGTCTTCTGCCAATTTATTTTTGTAGAATTGTTGGGTTAAAGCATAACTACTGGTTAAATTTTCAGAATATGTCTAAGCTATCAAATTTTACACAATTTCAAAGAGCAGAATGTTATCAATGCCATACCATTTTGATAAGTATTTTCATCAATGCTCTCACTGCTGGACTGCTCAAGAGGTGAGATACCTTTCTTCTGGCTGCAAGCATATCCTTTGGATTTGGCAACATAATCCCTGTGCGATTTTCCATAAGGACTTGTAACAGGTGTTGAAGTACCATCACGCTTTGAGAAAATACCACTAAAAAACCTGAAGAGTTTGTGCTCCTGGGAACTGGATCTCACAGTACCCGTTAAAAAGCCATCCTTCCCCATCTCTAAGTTTTCAGAAAGCTTGTGAATGTCACTGTTGTCTAAAGTCCTGTTCTTTCGTTTTCCCCGCTCCCATCGCCCAGGCTCAGAGAGTGGATCAGTTTTGTTCAGCACTTCTCCAACATCCAAGGTGTTTCGCTTCTCATTTGCTACAGATTCCCCACAATAAGGCTCAAGCTTTTGGTTTCTGAATTCGCTTCCAGCATCCCCACCAGACAGACAGTTGGAACTGCCATGATGTTTCTCCTTTGATAACACTTTAAACCTCACTAGCTCCCCATTCCAGTGTCTGAAGCTGAAACTTCTTCTGAGTAAACTTGGGTGTCTCTTGTCTGTCGCCATGGACATTGGAGGTGTTTGTTTGATGGCATCTACGCAGACAGTCGAATAATCAGGTAGCACAGATGAACCAACTGCTGGAGCTACTGACAATAAACCATGTTCTCCCTTTGGAACAATGTGCTCAGAGAAATCAAGCTCTGAACCAGGAGAGGACATTGTGATTAACTCCTTGTCTCCTAAAGGACTCTTTAATGAATCATTTGAGTTTCTCTTGATGGCTGTCTCGATTTTCTTCAAAGCCAACTTGCCACCTGTCCTTGGTGATTTCCTTGGATAAAGCACGTCTGCATTAATGGACTGTAAAGGGACAAAGTGCTCCTTTACACTAACTGTTTTGGCTGCATCCCCTCTCCGACTGCCTTCAGTGCAAGCTCTGCCTTCTTGTTGATCCTTTCCCCGGTTTGTGAGATTGATGGACCCGGTAACACATTCCCTGGATTCAGGCCCTGTCACCAACCTCTCAGTGCAATGGGTCCAATTTTTCTTGTTTTTTAATTCCACATCCACAGTTGCAAGCATACTGCTCGGTCTAGTTGAAGTCCCATCTCTGCATCTCAGTGTGACCAGGTCTTTGGTCGGATTGTCCTTAAGCTTGAAGCCCAGATCATGGGATCGTCTGGCCACCTTCAACCTGCCCAGCTCCAGGTGGCCAGTGCTGAAGGTGCGAAAGCTCCGAAGATTCGCTTCTGGCTCAAATTCGTCCTCGGCTTCACCACACTCTGCCAGGCACTGGCTTCCAGGATGGTGGCTGTCACTGGGGCAACCTGGTCGCTCCGGAGGCCCCTCAGGTTGAGCGGAAGGCGAGGATTTGCTACCAGCCTCAGCTGTGGCAGCCTCCCGTTTGACAAGAGTGAGCGAGATTCGGTAGACAGTCTTCCTCTGAGGAGTTCCCCTCTTCAGCATCTCGGGATATGGCTCGTTGTCCAGCAGGTACATGGCTCCTGCCACCCTTCTCTGTACCCGAAATACCAAACAATAGACCACACAGCTGAAGAATATCCAAAGCTAGACTGCTGCAAAGGAAGAACATCCAACACTAGGCAATTCAACAGAGGGACATCCAACATGAGCCTGCTCCTAATTGTGTGTGGGGGTGTGTATAAATAAGAGAAAAAAAAATCCACTCTATGCAGGATGCAGCACAGAGGCAGGTGTGTGAACAGCCAGCGCTCGGGAGCAGAATGCCATGGATTCCCTCCTTCCCTTAGCAGATGCAAACATGCAGCGGTGTTGGTTCAGGGTTGCATCGCCCGCCTTCGAGCACTGCGGGGGCACCGAGCTCCGAGCGCGGATCGTCTGGTTCGCAACGAGTGCGGCATCACCACTGTGAGCAGGGAAGCGAATGCGTTCCGCCAGCCCGGCGTGTTACAAGCACCGACTCCCGGGGGCGGAGAATCAGACGCCGAGAGACAGAGAAAGCTGCAAATCCCGGCCTGGATTTCTCCCACAGCGTGGGTCTGGACTGTTAAAGGACCTTTTACAAATAACACGCAACCAATATCAAAATTACGACAATGCCCGGGGTCTGCTGAAGCGCTTTTCCTAACAGAACTTTAAAAATTACTTAATGGGAGGTTTCACACGTTTGCTGAGCCATCCTTCAAATCCTGCTGTAGTTTCTTGGTCTGCAAACTCACCTGGCCTCAACTCTGACAGCAACCGAAAATTTACTGACTCATTCAATTCATGAATCGGTTTCTCGTGGAGGCATTTACCACTTCATTTTAAAGCCTTCATTAGTAATGACAGTATTAACAATTGTCAACGACCTGCACGATTCCAACACAAAAGATATTTAAAGGCTTCAATAACTAAAGTGGAAACTTCTTCACTGAGACTAAGAATATAATTCCAAACTTAGGCAGACAGGTAATCAGAGTTAAGAACACTGCCAAATCAGACATAATTTGATCAGCCATTGAATGGTAAACAGACTTGAGGGGCCAAATGACCTATTCCTTCTCCAACTTCTTGTTGCGTTATAATGTCATGTAGTGTGAAAGCAGTGAATTCTGTAGGCAGAGCAATCAAGAACAACTTATATTTACATCATTCCAAACAGTTTATGAGAGTGATTATCAGACTTCTGGTCTCTTTGACAACTTCTGAGGATCAAGGATGCCTTTGTTCAGTGGATTCCACAATGGTTTATAAGTCCAATGCGTCGTCAACAGACTCTGCAATACGCAGGGTCGGTGGTATTTGAAGGGACTTGAAGGAATAGAGGAGTTGTTTTAAAGATTCACACACCATTGCCAACATTTCAATTTTAGCTCTGCAGACTCCCAACAGGGTCTCAATGTGATATCTTCTCAACTGAGCCTTTTTTATTTGGTCAGTCAAAAACAGACTCCCATGAACCTCTCATCAGGGATTCTTGGAGGACAGCCTTAAAATATTTGCACTGTCCTCCTGGGAGTGTTCTGCCCTAACCATGTTTCAAATGAATGAGCTGCATTGGGACTATGTCAGTTATATGACTGACATGTCCCGCCCAGTGAAGTTTTAAACACTTTGACGCTGGGGATGTTGGTTTGGGACTTCCTTTCTTGCCATTTCTCCCACAGCGTGGGTCTGGACTATTAAAGGACCTTTTACAATTTTTGACGATTTTGTGATGGCACTGCTAGAGTGTACTCAGAGAGCTTTCAAGTGATTGATTTATCTAGCTGTCCAAGTTTCCACAGGAAAACAGAGACCACTGCTGCCAAACTATGATTTTAGTCTTGGGTTTGAGACCAAGGTGAGGCTGGACATTAGTAATGGTGAAAAATTTTGTCATCTATGTCTGCCTGCGTTGAGCGGACACTCCCAATGTACAGAAAATGGGGATTTAGAGTCATACAGCACAGAAATAGACCTTTAGGTCCAACCCATCCATGCTAAACAGGTTTCCCCAAACTAATCGCCCTTAGTTTAACATATTATGATACGCTTCAGAGATTATCAGATAAAATTTAACATGAGGATATAGCTGGTCAGGTGACAAAAATATTTTTAAAAAAGGAGTAGGAAGAGAATTCTAAAGTTTATGAATGAAACAGCTGAAGGCAATGGCCACCGTGGCGGAGAGATTGAAAATGAAGGCAACAAAGAGCACAAAATTGGATCAGCAGAGATCTTGGAGGATAGGATGGTGTTACAAGATTGGGAAGGACAAGACCTTGGAAGGATTTGACAAGGATGAGAATTTTCAAATTGAGGAGTCACTGAATCAGGAGTCAATGCAGATTAGCAAGAACGGATGAAGGGCAGCAGAGTTGATTCCACAGTGAAACAAAGGCATGTTAAACAGAGAAAGTTAGAGAGAAAACCTCAATCTTAATGCTGAAACAATGCTTGTACAGCAGATCAGGACAGAATTAGAGCACTCTCTGATCTCTCTATGAAATCACTTGATAAAACTTCAAGGATACAGCTTGAAGAGAGAATGAGTTTTACCTGGCAAAGTCTATTTTTTATAATGTCTGTCCTCCCTGCTGAGTTAAACATTCCCCAATATATTTTTCTCTCTGCATGTGCAGTGAGAAGACCAAGAGTATCTCAGGATTTTACACTGTGGAAACCAAGAATATCCAAGATATGCTCCAGTGTTACAAAGCGAGTTACTTTAAGTGTCAAAGGCTCAAAACACATGGCTCTTTCAGAGATAGTAGGAACTGCCGATGCTAGAGAATCCGAGATACCAAGGTGTAGAGCTGGATGGACACAGCAGGCCAAGCAGCATCAGAGGAGCAGGAAAGCTGACGTTGCGGGTCTGGACCCTTCTTCAGAAATGGCTCTTTCAGGAGTTTTACATGCTACCACACATTCAGAAGCAGTGCAATAAAATCCATATTGTACAGTGTTGCATGTATTTAATATCATTTATAAGTTTATATGCAAACATTTTAACCAACCCACTCAATGAGATTTAAAACTTTGTTAATATTAACCTACTGCTAAAGGAAAGATTTCAAATGCAAAAATAATGTAAGGTACTAAAACTCGTGAAATAACATGGTACACAGCTAGTAGGAAAATAACAAATACCCTTAATATAATATGTAACCAATGTGAACAAAATGCTAGGGTATGAAATATCACTGTTATTCTTGAAGAAATTTAAATAATTTTTCACAAAATGAACACATTCCAGAGTTTAATGGGTCCCTTATTAATAGACTGAGACTCTTCTGCATTTGTGGGACTACATTCATTACCAAGAAATTCAAAGGAAAAAACAGGTATATTTGTTACTAAAGCCACTTGATGTCCATTGATGTTGTTGTCCAGATTGTACACACTAACTGCAAATGTTCTGTATCACTGTGAAGGGAAGATTCCGTTGAAACAACGTTTATTACACTAAATTAAATGTAATGAATTATTAATCTTAGGGATGCCATCAAGGGAGCTACCAACCTACAAGGGGCTAGGAAAAAGGATAAATCAAGTCAACTTGTATTCCTTTGGTAAATGCCCGGATTGTTGACTCAAGTTAGAAATGGACTCCAATTAAAAATCTACCGTAAAATTTTCAGCCATTAACAATGACAATTGGAAAAAAAAGTACTAAATATCCAGCATTTATGGAATCTATTTTTACAAGAATTTCCAGCTTCCCAGGAATGGGACTGGAAATAATTAGAATCTGAGTAAACAAAATGAATGCCTTTCCCTTTCTGTCTCTTCATCACTCTTGTTGGTTGTAGTTTTCTTTATGACATGACAAAACCATTTTTGTTTAGTTTAGTAGTTTGTAAGATCCATCAGGTTGTATAGAAACCAGATCTCCTTGTTGAAAGATTATAAAGACAATGTATCACCAACAAAGTATAGCAGCTTTAAAAAGGGTAGAAATGAATATATTAAAGGAGAATTGAGCTAGTTTTACAAACAGAAACAAAAGTAGGAACTATTTTAAAGAACAAATACGCCTGGCATATGCTGAGAATGCTACATCATCCAGAGCCAAAATGCAACTAACTACCATCTCCAGAATATGTGGTTAAATATTTATTTCCAAACAAAACATGTGTGGGGCAGATTTGGTAGTGTCTGGATGTTCACAAGCCCATTAGCTAACCTCACCAGAAGGCAATCAACTCATGTCTATTTATTGCAATCTCATCCTCATGGGAAATTCCAAACACAAAGTCTTTGATCATAAAACAAAAAGGTTACTAGTGTACAGGACAAAACATAATGCAATTACATAAAGCTGGACTGTAAAACTTCATACATCTTTAATACCATGGACTTACTGTATTAACTCTGCATGCATAGTACAACCATAACATCACACCCTGACAGGAGATGTAATTATTTCCTTATTCATGTCCCACTCAGTCCTATCCCTGTGGGCCAACATCAGATCCCAATACTAAACACCTCAAAATTAAAATTCTCATTCTCACATTTAAATCCCAACTTGACCTTGTTCCCCTATGTCATCTCTGCAGACTTCTCCAGCCTTATAATCAGACTCCACATGAACTCTGTTCCTCTGACTGCTTGCGCATCTACTCTTTCCTTTTGCCCCACAATTGTTACCATCTGTTTATCCAGTTTAAACCATGTGCTGGAATTCTTTCACAGTCTCTTTCTCTCCTCCTTTAATGCCTTCCCTTAAAATCAAAGCTTTCTGTCACTCCCCAATATCCCCTTTGGATCATCAACCATTTTTCAATGATTACTTTTCAGTGAATTTTTTTTTTTAAAACAGCATTTCTCTATATTAACAGGGCAATATTACTGTACTTTTAAAAAGTTCCTATGTAACATTAGTCTTCACAAAGTTATTTTCCTTTCAGTAGTCGTTTTTTCTGTGCTGAAATGACTCTAACGTGATAATCAATTGGCAAATTCTAAAGGATTTATTTTAGATTTAGAAGTCTAGGCAATAGTGAAAGAACACAATTCTGAAATCGCACTGCTGAGTTACAAACAAAATGGCACTTCCATCTCTAGCATGCCGCTGAAAGTGGTTTTGCTTTACACTTTTCAAAGATACATACAGCCTAGTCTTGCCTTGTTCTTTAAAGATGAACCACCATCAGAATTTTAAAGTTGCAAGACAAATTTTCATATTATTATCAGCACTCCAAATGGGGCCGATTCCAAAGCACTTTAACTATCACAAGCACGTTTGCTTCAACTTTGTTCCATTTGGTATTAAACTGAATATTGTAAAGATGTATGGAAGACAGGACAGAAAAAAAGGATTTCATTTATATGACACCTTTTGTGATCTTACTTTAGTTACTTTGGGAAAAACTCAGTGTTCTAATACAGGAAACACAGCAGCCAGATTGCATGATGCAAAGTCTCATAAACAGCAATGTACTAATAACAAGATAATCTGTTTCAGAGATACTGGATGAGGAACATTGG